CTCGCGATGCCTACCAAGGAACAGGAGCAACAGCAGGTCTTCTCCCTCAATGCCGAACAATACAATGCCTTGACCACATTCGACGAGACTCATGTCGACTACAAATCTCAGCCCTCTAATCTGCAGCAGGCTTTGGCCGCGATGCGGAACAATGTTGCCAAGCTGCCGAACAAGGCTACATCCGACGTGTACACCAGATCTTTGATGTGGGATCGAGTTCCCGAGAAGGTGATTCGCGATTTTCAACGCATGGTTCAGGAATATGGCGCTTCCCCCATCAAAGAGGAGCAGTCCGGCTTCGGTCAGACCTGAATAGTATAACCGACAGATTGTCCGTCACAGCGTACTTTTAGTCATCTCGTCTCATTTTTCATCGCCATTTTCAGCCAAAGTCACCTTACCCAGCTTGCCTGCCCTTCACCAAAGCAATTTGCTCAAACATTTCGTTCTACCGCTTCACTTCTCGCCTTTAACAACGATTTCCTTTTTCAGACAAACATCTTCCAGCGCCTTATGCTGTCGAGCTACGCGACTCTCCTTTGGCCAGATTTAGCCAGAATTTAGCCGTATGCATGCATAGACAGCACCATCAACTCTTCTTCTACTGGATATATTCCACAAATTAGCCACTATTCGACTTTTTCTGACGAATTAGCGATGTTTTCTTTATGGTTCGTGCTTTTTTTTTTTTTTTCGGTTTTGTCGGCGTACATCTGGTTCTCCTTTGTCATGCATCGGGCCTGGGAATGACTTTCTACGAACATTCAAGACACCTGCATCTGTACTTTTCTCTTTTTATCTGGTCCCTGTTACCCTCAGGGTTTGGCATGTTGGGTTTGGGTGGGCCTCATGGTTTTGCAAACAGACACATGGCACAACAGGACAGAGCGTGTTTGTCGAGCGATCGACAGGAATCTTCCATTCTTATTTTGTATTCGGGCTTGCGTTTCTACGTTCTTCATTTTATGGGGGTTCTATTGCATATGTTTGTGGATATGACTGAGCGAGGGCGGCCATCCTGTTACGACTGTTATGATACGACGTATATGACTGAAGCGTGTGTTGCTCTTTGTTGTCATCTTGATGTTACTGTTTACCTGGTTTTGATTTGGACAGCCGGGCTGCCATCGACGGTGGTCATTTGAGCGTTTTCTCTGCCTTTCTGCTGCAGGCACCTTTCCTACTTGAAGTGGCCTGATTTTCTTCTCTCATATACTCCCATGACCCGGTCATTCCACCTGGTCCTGATATTGTACACGGCAGGATTGCATGATCGATGTTCATGCACTTCTTGTCTCTTGGGCTCGTCCTTCGTGCCTGACCACTCTTTCTGACGAATTTACTTTGTTGAACGTGAAATTATCCGATATCATGTTACTGTATATAATAACGTTCCGGGCAGATGCCCTCGAATCTTTGTCATGAAACGACTTGACGATACGAATGGTTGACATACGCTACATCCTGATCGTAGGCTCTATTCACGTAGTATTACTGCAACACTGTTGCATATCGTCCCTCTGTCGTTGTAGTCTTGTCAGCTCGAGATCTGGGCAGCAGCGCCCCGATCCTCGGCTACTGCTCCTCTCTACACAAATTAAAAATAGCGAGTCAGGCAGGCTACCACATAAACCTACAATACGAGAGAGTCGAGAGACCTTACATCAACTTACCAGTAGTCTAGATACCTAGCTCGTACCCAGAAAGCCAATCTCCGTGGCTTGCTTCCAATCAAAGCCACCAGAGCCGTGGCTGATGTGAATACTAGGGACGGAGTACGGAGTACAGAGTAGTGTACGGTCGTGAAAACAAAGTACATGTGCAGCGATCGGGCTGCAGTGCAAAGATGAGGCTGCATTGGGTCATAAACGCATCGTCCATTAGAGGGTCATGAATCATGCTTATTCATATTACCAAGTATGCAATAATAATGCGGGTATGCGGGTTATGGGTCTCGTCAGGCAGCCGGCAGCCGGCAGCCCTATACATGGATACCAACATGACACTGAAGTAAACAATCCCAAGAGACGGGGCGAGACCCCGACGAACAAAGATGAGCGAGCATCTTAGGATTTTCTTCCGGCCAAAGCCTGGAAGGGGGTATCATTTGGCGGCTGTCGGGTTCGTCCGTGTCAAGCACTAACGAGCCGTGCTCACTGTGCAGGTCTGCTTTATTTGGGGCTGTATTTCTCTTTCCATATCCTGTCATGAGAAGCATGTGGGTGTCAGCCTGATGATCGATGGGGTCTAGATGGTTGATGGGAGTTGGTGTGGGCGACGTTGTGGTTGGCTGCGACTGTGACGGCGGCTCGCATGGCGCAGCTTGCCAAAGGCACCACGAGAGCCTATCGCTCCAGCCGTACCCCCGACCTCTCGGACATCATGACCATGAGTGATAATGAGAAGTCGCAGGTTGTTGGCTGAAGACGATGACCACATCACACTGGATGAAAGCGATCAATGGAAAAGTAGGTAGCGGGAGTGAGGTGAGGAGCCAAATGCCAGAAAAGGGGGGTTTAGAGATAATTGGCAATAGGAAATAACACGTACCAGGAGTTTCCTACTATTTTGTTCCCTTTTTCTTCGGCCAGTCGATAATATTTGGCAGCCTTGAACTAAGCGTTGAAAGATCGCGAGTCAGCAGAGCCTTGACGAGAGACCAAAAGTACATCAACTCGGGTGAGAATTTCAAGCTTCAGAAAAAAGCATCAATGCCCGAAGAGGACAACAAAACTAAGCTAGAGTTTCAAGGCTCAAACCACAGAGCTCTCTCCAGACGAGCAGTCGGCGGTCCAATAATGGCGTACCTTGTCCTTTTTACCTCCAAAGCCTTCAAGATAGCACCATGCGACTTCGTTCATCGCATCTGTATCACCCAGATTGGCTGCTGTCTCAAAATACTGTCGGGCAGCTACCGGGTCTTTTTTGACGCCCCAGCCATTACGATAGCAATTTCCCAGTTCGAAAATGGCCAGTACAAGCTCTCCTTTGGCAGCGCCTCCCTTCTTCATACCTGCCTGGAGCGCCTGAGACTCTATTGATGCGGAATTCGCTGCTGCGGCTGAGAGATAGGTCACGGCCTTGTCGGGATCTTGAGGGCATCCCCAACCATGCCTGGGGAGCGACTCAAAGTTAGACACTCTTAGGGTTCAAGTAGTCCTTTGTAACTTTCCATGCTAAGGAATGAATCGAGAAAGCGCTATGGGCAAGACGGGTGGGTAGTCAGGTTCGTACCTCAGCGCAAGTCCGTAGAGCACTTGACTCAATGCGTTGTTGGCACCATTCGGATCTGCCAGTTGACGGAACATATCTGTGGACCTTTCAAGCTCTGTATGGCGAGAATCATTAGTATGGATCCAAGCGATGGGCTAGAACCAGGAACTCGCCGCCAGTCTCGTGAAGACGAATCGCCTCTTGAATGTTGACCTAAGCCCATCATTAGATACTTGCCGATGCACTAAAAACTAAAATGGGCTTCAAAAAAGCACAGCAACTTACATCGCCTTCTGGATCATTGATCCGACTATGACTAGAACTTCTTGACCGCGCTTTTTCCGCGGTATTTGTCCCAAGGATATTCGACGAAGGACGAAGTGATAGTGCGGGCGATCCAGAAAGCGGGCTTTGTTGCGCCAGAATCGTCGCGCGCTTCTCCCATTGTGCTTCCCTGTCTTGCTCGTCGAATTTATCGTCCGAAATTTGCGGAAGATCCGACGGGATATTGACTGAGCTAGAGCTAGTACTCCGCGAGCCCCGATCGCGATGCAGCAATTGTGATAGCCGGTGTTCACCACGCGGTCGAGTCGGCGAAGCTGGCTCTGAAGAATCAGACGGGGACCTTGAGCGGCTGAATATGTTCAATGATCTTCGATGCGTCGAGGAAGATGGTCGCGATGGATTTAGGAGATCCGATTGATTGTGGTCGCGGCGGTGGTCACTGACGTCACCGTCATAGCTCGGCGGGTTGATAACCTCATGGGACAGTGTATCGGATCGAACGAATTTAATCTCGGGAACAGGACTTGAGGGTACGTCCGGCGGATACTGACTTCCTGAGTCGTTGATCCTGTCTTTCTTGTGAAGGATATCGCGCAGAGGCATCTTGCGGTGGGCTTATCGCGGAGAGGTCTTTTGCGGGGTGGATACCTGGCAATTTACCGAGGGGTCGTTTGTGCGTCTGTCTGACGAAGAAACGAGACGTGCGTATGGAAATAGGGTATATTGGGATTATCGAGCTTCATATATCCTCAATGAGAAATATATTCCAGCCTTGCGTTCTGTAAGCGGCACGGGGCTGGGATGTGGCTGTGTTAAGGCTGTCCTTTGTTTTCTTAATATCATCACGGATCCCTTGGGATAAATTATTCTGGTGTGCCTGATTCGTTTCCATGGTTGGCAGTGTCGGTTGTCTTGGCTCCTGGACCACTGTTTGGCTTCATTATTCACGGCATTATATTATGTTTTATGTTCTTTGCATTGAGATCGTTTCTCAATTGCAACAGGTCGAATTTATGGCTGGACTGTTTCTATTGTGTCAATAGTGATTCTCCATTAGTCAGACCTTCTTATCAAAAGTTGAAGTGCCTACGCGGAAGCAGAACAAGGGACGAAACATACTGATGATTGGAAAGTTTCTTGCAAGAGGAAGCGCATAAATATCATTGTAAGCGATATGGACTACAGAAGATTGCACTGTGCAGATGACCAGCCTACTGGGAGATAGTACGTCTTAAGGTAGTACATAGAGGAGACACAGGGCAGCTATCTGGGAGACCCAGGGATTTGGGTAGCATGGACTACACATTAGGGGTTTCATTGTCTGAATGTTGGATGCACCGGGTGATCAGTAATCAGACAGAAATAGAGAGGCTTTTGGATAGCCGGGGCCGCGCGCAGATAGGGCAAAAATTGGTATTGATATGTCTAATCGAGCACAAAAGTAAAATGGTCAATGATTTTATACATGATGCTAATAACGAGGCTATTCATGTAGAGTCCATTTACTGGGCCTTGGCAGACATGATGCCTAATTTACATGGTAAGCTTGCGATGGACCAGATAGTTTCGGGGCGAGTGAGACTTACGCTCGACATCAGCAACGCTCTGTTGAAGAATCTGCTGGAGGACCTTTGGGTTCTCAAGCTCCTTCTGGATCTTGCCGATGACGGACTCGGCAAGCTCACGCTGCTGGCGCTGCTTGACCTGGCTCTCGTAGCGAACCCACGAGTCAAGGACGGACTTGGCCTCAGCGGCCAAAGCGGTGCGCTGCTCGAGCTCATAAGCCTGAGCCTCAAGTTGGGCGGTTTCCTTCAACAATGTATCAGCACAATTCAGGCTAGATATCAATTCGTAGGACCGAATTTACCCGGGAAACAGCGAAGAGCTGCTTGGTGATATCAACAACGCTGGACAGCTCCTTGACATTGTCCATACGGGCCTTGACAGCGTTGGTGTGGTCGGCACGGGCAGCATTCAGGATGTCCTTGTGCTTCTGGACCTGACCCTGAGCCCACTCACTGTAGACAGGACCACCGTACTTGGCAACGGCGGTGAAGACACTGAGCAGACAGAAGGCGGCAACGGTTTCCTCGTTCATAACATAGAGCTCGTTGCTGATGGCGGCGACGGAAAGACCGGCGGCGGCGGACAGGATGGCAGTCTTAGACACGAGGGAGTTGCCGGGAAGGGAGTCGATGATCGACTGAGCCTTCTTCTTGGGGTCCTCGGCAGGGACGTTGGAGGCCGAACGAGACGCAGTCAGGTTGGCAGCGACGCTGCGCACGGGAAGGGTCGGCCGGAGCCGGGTAGCACCTAGCTGGGGTTAGCGACTGTGATGAGGTGTTTCATAGCCTTGTAAAAAATCGTGTGCGGCATACCAATGGCGCTCTTAGCCAGACGCGAAGCCATTGTGACGATGAGAAGTCCTTGAAAGATGTGATGGATGAACGGAACTGACGAGAATGAGGTCGGAATGGCGCTTTGGGCGGTGCGGAAGACGCTAGCCACATTGGGCTTGGCGCAGCTGACGGAAAAACTGGTAGCCGAGGAATTATCAAAAAATTAACTGTACAAGGAAGAAGAGGATTGATTGCAGAAGCACGATTCGAACTCGAATACTAATATTCAGATTTGTGCGGACAAAATGCCGGCACATACGAATGAAGCTTCAAGCTCGAAGAAGCGAAAGAATGCCAAAGAAAGCGGAGTTCCCTCGTCCAAGCGCCGTGCAGTCGCTGAGACTCAAAGCGATGGAGAGATGGCCAAGATCCAAGAGCTGGAAGACCAGATCTCTGAGTCGCGAAAGTACTACAACAACATTGCAACACTGATCTCGATGCTCAATGCGGATGGAAATGAGGGAAAGCCGAATTTGGCCGTGGCAGTGTCACTCTGTCGAGTCTTCAGCAGATTGATTGCCGTGGGGAATCTGACCGAGACCAGTCGCGCAGCAGAGAACGAGAAGATCATCGTTGCTTGGTTGAAGGAACGTTGTCGGGAATACCAGAAGACATTGGTCTCAATCCTTCGTGAAGCAGATCCTTCCTCTCAGGTTTGTTATCCAGGCTTCTCCTACACTCGGTTGGCATTTTCTGATAGTGTGGTAGATTACTGCCTTGACTCTATGCATGCGCATTATCAACGAACGTGCGACACATCTACCGGGCGATGATACTCAGGTGTGGCTTTCTGGTCTCTTCAAGAACGTATTCGAGGCAGTTGTCGAAGCCAAGAACGGACAGGCATTGAGGTTGGAGTTTCTGGATAAGTTTGCGAAGGCATACGAGGATGTGAGATACTACACCTTCGTGCAAGTCTCGTACGTCCCCTATTCCTCTTTCCCGGGAAATTTAATCTTATGCTAACCTTGGACATCAGTGACTACGCAGAGACAAGAAGAAGCTCGGAAGTCCTCGATATCCTGATCTCGATGCTATCGGAATGCTACAATGTCCCTGGCCCTGAACACAAGTTTGAAAATTTCTACACCAAATCCAGCAGGCAAAACAAGAAGCTCCTCTCAGTGAACTCGCACAAGAAACGAGCACAGGATGCCTGGCTGGCTATACTTCAGAACAACCTCTCCCACCCCCAACGCAAGACCCTGCTGCGCAACATGGTCCACACCATAGAGCCGTGGTTCAACCGCCCCGAGCTGCTCATGGACTTCCTGACAGATTCATACAACGTCGGCGGCGCGACATCCCTCCTTGCCCTCTCAGGCCTCTTCCACCTGATCCAGGAGAAGAACCTGGACTATCCCCAATTCTACCACAAACTATATTCCCTCCTCGACGCCGATCTCCTGCACTCGAAACACCGCTCTCGGTTCTTCCGGCTGATGAACACCTTCCTCTCCTCCACCCACCTCCCCGCTACGCTTATCGCCAGCTTTATCAAGCGTCTCTCTCGTCTCGCGCTGAATGCACCCCCCACCGCTATCGTGGTAATCGTTCCCTTCATATACAATCTACTCAAGAATCACCCGACGTGCACCTTCATGCTCCACCGCGTCGTCCGCGACGAGCAAACCAAGGCCGCGCTCGAAGCCGAGGGCATGGATGACCCGTTCGATGTAAACGAGGCAGACCCGACCTGCACAAATGCCATTGAAAGCAGTCTATGGGAAATCGAGACGCTCCAGACCCATTACCACCCCAACGTCGCTGCGATTGCCCGGATTATCTCGGAGCAATTTACAAAACAGGCGTACAATCTTGAAGATTTCCTGGACTACACCTACCAAGGCATGCTGCAGGCAGAGCTCGGTACGGAAGACAAGCCGTTTAAGAGAATCCCAGTCGTGGAATATCATATCCCCAAGCGAATATTCACGGACAGATTGCTCGAGGAAGACGGAGGCCAGGACACAGCGCCTGGTAGCTTCATGAGAGGCTTATGGAATTTCGCATGACGGGTCAAAATCGCGAAATCTGCATGGCTATGCAGGTAATTTGCTTCCTACAGCGTATATCATTTGGTGTTATTAAATCCGTTCGATTGTCTATAGACGTCTATGCTAAGAAGCTTTTCGAAAAGCAATCTATCCTATCTAATGGTTCTCATTACTCCTTGCTTGACTTGGCAGGAGGTCGTACGAAAATCCCGAGTTATACTTCAACTATACCAAATCATCAGCCAAAAGTGTGATCTCCTTTGAACAAGACCATGCCAATCTCTCACCAACCATAAGTCGAATAAGCCTCTGTCGCTCCCCAGCCTGAAAAGTTGTCGTCCTGATTCATCAATCCTTCGGCATAATGGTAGTACGAATTACCGGAGTGGGTTTCCAAAGGCATGAAGGCCCCGAGCGCTGCAGACTGTTGCAACTCTTGCAATCGGCGGTAGTGATATGGTCCAACTGTTCCATACAATGGATGTGGAGGGTCTTCGAGGTCGTCCCCGCACATCATCTCATTTGCCTCCGCAACAGGGTCTCCGGGATGATAGTCACAAAAGACGTCCAGGGCAAACACTCCACGTTTTAGATCTTCGAAAAGCGTGTTGGTGACTCTGACGGGTATCGCTTCTATTTTGGCACGCATTTTCTCCGTGATGCTTTGGGCTTTTTGACGCCTCCGTCTTTGACGCACACTCACTTCCTCCTCCATTCGTTCGAGCAAATACAGAATCTCCTTCTCAGAGGAAGCTACGGCGACCGCGCGTTCCATTCTCGACGTAAGTTGTTGAAGCTCTTGAGAGACAGCGCGAAAGAGCGCATCGATCTTATTCAAAGCTCTCGCGACGTGAGAACAAAGACTTCGAGCGAGCGTTCTCTCATACACCCGCGCCCAAAATGTCATCCAATAGGCAAATCCAGTCCGTGACTTGCGCAGGCGTGTCAACTCGAGGGTTATGATGACATTGCGACACAAAGCGAGGGTGTGCAAAGCCCCATCGCGCGTCTCTTCCAATGTGACCAGACGTTGAGAGAGGGCCGATTGGGGCCTCTCTGGACCGAACTCCTGGCTTTCATCCGGTCTTTCTAAAGAGCGATAGAATCGCTGTGACCCATCGATACTCTGTGATGCTGCAGCAAATGATGCCGGCTCGGATTCTTGGCAAGTCTGCAGATCTTGATCACCGTATCTGAGGCCGACGATTAGATCACTTTGCAGATCAGTTTGCGACATTCCAGTGCCGGAAGCTGTGTCATGCGACAGAGGTTTGGGGGCTAAAAGGAGCTGGAATATAATCCGATGCTAAAGATGCGAAAATGAGGGCGAAAAACGAAGATCCGTTCAACGAGTGTGTCTCTAAACGAATGACTGTGGCAAAGTATGCCAGGAACAAGATGGAAAGTACGATATTGGAGAAAAATGTCTGAACGAGCGTATATGGGCGAACAAGGGTAAGGTAGTTGATGAAGCAATGTTCCATCATGAGGAACGAAGATCTACCTGTGACATCCTGGCTGCCTAGGTGGGATGGAGTATGAATCTCAAGTGTGGAAGGAACATGGAAGGGTTTCTGTTGATGCAGGTGGAGTTCAAGCAATTGCAACTGGGATGGAGGACAGATCGATGCATCCGGGCCTTCTTGCATTACAGTAGGCGATAAAGTTGCAACATTACCTATCCAGCCAGGCGGGTCCCTCGGGTTGTATTAACTTCCTTACTATGGGGTTGTCTTGTCAGGACATTGATATTGTTTCCGGTTTCGGTAACCATCGAGCAAGTCACCGTTGCCATTGTCATAGTACGGCATGGTAAAAATCGATCATATTTTTAGAAACAAGATAGGGGATTTTGAGAGCAGGTATGCGCTCCGTCGAGAAGAGTGCATCACTGGCAATTGAGTCTGTCCCAGCACCTGGTGACCTGAGATTAGGTGGTAGAAGGAGAACGGGGGTGGAGGCGGGCGTTGGTACAAACCATATCATCTTTTGCAAGGAGAACAAGCAGTGACTGGTAGATTCAAGCTTTGACAGTGGCTGTTAATGCCTGCAATTAGCTTGATTTCCCCTGAGCTCTATCTAGCCTCTAAGCCTCCAATGCAGGGTCACCGACCCCTTGCAGGGAAACACAACTAACTCGAGAATGTCAATCCCAATCAACGAAAGGGGCAAACAACACAATATTTCAGATATTTATTCAAGGGATTGTTTATTCATCATTAGAGTACACAATTGATCGCTGGATGCAGGATCGCAGGAGCCGGAAGCTGGTATTTGACCTCTTTTCCAAGTCTTTTTAGCGAAGCTGCTCTTTTACTGGCTTGAGCCAGTGAGAGATAATCAAGCTAGATAAAATTGGTCAACAGAGATCCTCCCTCGTTGCCGATGACCATGTCGCAGACAAGATTCTCTTTGCAAGCAGAGTGTGTTGTGGCTTCTAAGACATCTAAGACCCGATAGGGGGAAGAGGTTGAGATAATCGTATAGGAATGCCTAGGGCCAGCACCCGTCATCTCAGCCACGTACGGAGACTACCTGAAGGTATCTTAAGGTCAGACCCTTTGGGCCTTGCCCAAGGCCCCAGCATGCTCTTTGATCATCGTCTCGAGTAATGCACATTCAAATTTCATTCCGCAAGTTTAGTTGAGTGTGCGTTGTTGATGCACATTCCTCAGAGCAAGACCTAAGTTATACTCGCCTCTTTGTTGATTGGAATGCGTTCAGAATGCAAGACGCGTCTGTGACGATCTCTCTTGTTATTTTTCCATAAATGGAGTGATTCAGCTGCTCGCAATGATCGCGTGTTCATCACTTCGAACATTCAGTCGTTCTTTCCGCGGGATTCATAGTTCGCACGTCCTTGCTACTCCGTTCATCAGGGAGATATCATCGCCCGTATCAGGAAGGAGTTATTGGACTTGAAGTCCGTGTACTCAACGACTCCAAAGGGCTCCAGTCAATCGTGCCTGCTGCTGGTCTCTCAGGTGGCGCCAGTATATCATCTACAGTCCGCCACGCTGCTGTTCTCGAACACCAGTTCCATCTCCGAAACTCAGGATTTCACGTACATTTGCATCTTTATTTCCAGCAGACTTACTTCAACTATTCAGCTGCGCTCTTGCTTTGACGTTGGTTCATCTCCTGACCATACACGATCAATCACTGGCGTCTAATTCTGATAGTGTTGCAAATCACGATGTATTGGTCGAAGTCCCTTCTAGCAACATGGGTCTGCCTGGCCCAGCTGAGCGCCGCTCAGATGTTGGCCTTCACAGCATGGCCAACCCACATCTCCCAGGGCCAGCCAGCTACGGTGACTTGGTTGGGAGCTCCTGATGTAGTGCGTAAACGCGAATGCCTTTCCCTTCCGTCAGATGATCATCCCTTACTCATAGCTGTGCTTAGCCTGTCACCATTTATCTGCGTAAAGGTGATGCGAACAACCTCGAGCACGTCCAAGTCTTGACTACCGATGCGAAAGGCGGATCCTTCACTTTTGTTCCCGACGATTCCTTGCCCGATGGTTCAGACTATGCCTTGCAAATCCAGCAAGGCGCCGAGGAGAATTATTCTGGACTAATGACACTTGGGAACCCTGGCAGCAAGCCACCAAGTCCTCCGAAGCCTCCATCGCCCACAGAAGACAGTAAGCCGCAGAACGTTTCCAAGACCTCCCCTCAAGACGATACCTCAACCCACAACGGCACCTCACCTCACGACGCGTGGGAAACGGAGGTCGCGAAGGGTAACAATGCCCAATTCGCCAGTGTGGAAGATATGTCCAAGGGATCTAACTCAAACTTCACTCACGGCAAAAGCGCAATGCCGGCTAAGTTAGAAACCAGCGGTGCTTCTATTGAAAACTTGTACCTTGGCTGGGTCCTGGCGACAGCAGGTGTCTTGTTCTATGTCGCCGAATAAAGTAGATTCGGGTGACCAAATTCGTCAGCCACACATCCTGTCATCATTTGCCAATGATTGAACACATTGTCTTCAGAATAATGCCTCTGCTCTGGTTCGTTGTACATAGTCCCCATTGCATTCAAAAAGTTCTGTATGCTGGGATATCGGAGAGCGTGATTTCTTCAAGAAATCAAGCCATGATTGTTATTGGATTCTGTTGTACCCTTCAGGGCAGCTCAAGCACTGAACAATTGTTGGATTGATCCATCAAGCCTCATTCACAATATACACATCACTGCTTTGATTGAAAAGATGAAATTAGGCATGATATTATTAAGATCGATTATGAGCACAAAGCACTTCAATTTCATGTTTCACAATTGATAATGTGGGCTGTTTGACAGGAAGCTGTTAGTGTCCGCTGTTAGCGGCTGGCTCTCCTCCATGGATGTGCTTTTCCTGACTGGTTCCCATTGCTCATTCGTACCTGACCAGATATAAAACCTCATCATTCATCACTGCTGTTTCTTGACAGTAGTGCCTTCATCTATATATTCCTCTGAAACTTATATTTCGACCTGTATACACTTCATTTACACTCATTAAGCTGTATTCCAATTTTGCGCTTTAATTACTCTCTACTGTGCGCAGTTTGTGACAGTAAGTTGATAACTCTCAGTTGCTAGTTTTGAACTATTCCAGCCTACTCTCTATCTATTTGCACTACAACTATGTTATGTGTCTCGGCGATGACAAAGCATAGAACTCATCAAGTCAATAGTTCAGCTGCAGCTCTTTTGCATCCCAGCCTTGATCTCCACGAGGGTATGTCCCCTCTTCGTCTTTTAATGTTTGTTCCAGTCGTCTCCAGCTCCTCAATTCCCATGCATTCCGAGGCTTCGAGATCGCCCACTTGCACCTCCTTCACTTCGCACCTTCCTTGGGTATCGGGGATAGCCTCGGTGTTGCAGGCGATTGCCATCAACGTCGCCTATCTGTTTCCCTGGTGCTACTGCTGAAGGTCCGGTCGCTACTGCTTCGAGCTTGCCATTCCTGGATAACGCTTAGCCTGCATTCCAATCCCCGCGCCCCCCCCTACAATGGCCCGCCTTGTGCGGCCAAAGAAGAATGCTGCAAGGGCAGAAAGTGACGATGCTGACCCGGTGACGCTTGTGTCACCTACGTTAGATTCTCCGAGACCCCCTCGTGTCAGCCTACCTCATGTGGAAACCCAGTTGAATATGCATCAGTACAATGGTTTGTTCGATGTCAGCTCATCTGAATGCCAAAAGACAACTACAGCTGTAGAAACTTCTCCGGGTAGGTCGTTTCATCTCATATCAATGTGGTGATAATCGAAACTAGTTGCTCGCTTCGAATGTTGGATGCTGATTTGACTTTGCACATGTTGTTAGATTCCACATCCACGTCCCCACGTACTTCCAATCCTACGAACGGCGATGTTTCTACCGCCGAATGGTCCTCGGCTGTTGGCCATGCGGCCACGGGCAAATCGGGCCGTGTCATACATAATCTTCAAGAAGAAATCGCACGTTTGACTCGCGAATGCAGTGTATATCGTTCACGGGCGGAAGAAACTCAGCGGATGAACGATGCTTTTAAGATGCAGGTACAGAACATGACCGAACGCCTTCGGAATCTTGAGCAGGCCAACGAAACGAATCTACATTCGATCTCGCGCAAGGACAAGAAAATTGAGGAGTTACGGGCCGAAATACAGAGCGAGAAAGAAAGACGACGCCGAGCCGAGGGAGAGACCGATAAGTTCCAGCAATTGATGAATGAAGCTCGTGATGAATTCAATCGAAAATGCGCGGAGCTACAGGAGATTGCAAATCACGCCCGAACACAGTACGATGTGCTTGCGAAAGCTGGACAACGTGAACGCGCAGATCAGCAGAGGAAACTCAAAGCGATCCGGGATGATTTCCTCACTTTGAAAGCGGAGCATGAAAAAAGAGACGTACAGCTAGATCGCCTGGACGCGGTCATGGCGCAGAAAAATCGTGAGATCGAGATTGGTAGAGAAAGATTCGATCAGCTCTTCGAGGACTACGAAGCATACAAAAAGGCTCACGACGAGGAGGTGCGGGCCTTGATCGAGAGGAGCTATCAAGGCGCAGCCAACATAGATAGTGCTCTCGCCTCACTCAAGGAGACTGAAGGGAAAATGAAATGGGCTATCCAAGTCAAGAACGAGATTAAAGACGCCCGATGAGCCAACAATCCATTTTACGTATAATCAACCCTGCATAAGAGGCACCAAGCAAGCAACAGATGCGCCTTCGAGGGATACAGCTTGTCGGCAGAAATCCTCCTCGATTCCGGACTCAGCGAATTTGAGGTCGGTCCTCTAACTTAGTCCGTGCTGTGCCATTCACCTACCAATATTCTTTCTCATCTACGATTCACGACCATAGCAGGCTCATTCGACCGCAATGTCGCTCGTTGATGTTAGGAGGGTATGTCGGGACTGTTCTTTATTGCTCGCAGTGAGCCCTTTGTGCTCGTTTGACTTGGTGTCCCAGTTGCTTAATGCTTCCTGGAGTTTGGGAGTGCTTGATACCCTAGGACATACACTTTTTCCTCTGCTTGGCGGTCTCTGATTTGTTTGCAAATAGACCATAATAAATACAGGTACCAGAAAAATGCATAGAATAGTCGGCCAAATGTCCCTTGAAGAATGTGATTCAAAGGGGACTTCTTCAACTTCTTTTTCTGGGTCGAGCCTAAGGAGGTACTTATGATTCACTGTATTTATAGGAAATCAATCACTAATCTTACTATATCATAGCAACCCTTTCACTTCCTTCTTATCCTTTATGATGTGTCAATGAGAAGTGAATAGGGAGAATGTCCATACCTTCACTCTTTTCTGCATCTATCCGCCTGCCGATGAGCTATACATTCACTTACTAGCTGCATCTACCCTATGATTGGCTGTATTTAACAAATTAACCACCTTACAGAAAACCCATTGTCATTCATCTCTTTTTCTTTCTTGTTGGCTTGTGATTCTGATTACTCTGAGGAGAAGTTGTCCCTCTCCTTCGGTCTTCGTACAGTGTTGCGTTCGTCTTCCTCCTTCTTCTTTAGGGAAATCAGGAGCACCATCTCTCTACAAGCTTCGCAATATCTCTCGATTGACCATCACTCTTCATTGCTGGATTCTTTTTCATCTTCTCCATTCCATATCTGATCTTAAAATAAACAACCAAGGAATTGCTGGCGAGCTGCTGCTCTCTTCGAAAGACTGCTGACCAGGCTCGTTCTTCGACCACGTTTCTTGTTCTGTCTAAGATCAATCTCAGCTAGTGCAGGCACAGCTGTTTCGCGCGTGTTGACGCAATGGCCACAAAGCAAAGACTGACGCTCGCCTCCATGTGGGCTTTCGAAGACATAGGGGTGAGCTGACGATTGTAATGACAGGTTGCGGATGACTCCTTTGCTGACCAGAGTATGAACAGGTTAAGGAGATAGAGGAAGAGATCAAGTGTGTATCGACCATAGCACGCATGCTTGTCTTTCAACTGACGCGGCAAAACCAGGAACACAATCCTTCAGGTGGATTCGCTCGAATATTTTAAGACAGACGATGTTGGTTCTCATATCCTTTCACGTCATTGTACCTAACTAGAATTTCAATAGGTACTTGTGACCAAAGGCAATGTCGAGAGCTTTGTCTCAAAGATCGCATCTGCATTTGCCGGCTTCATCGAAGAGCAGAAAGACAAAGATCTCCTAGACGTGAGGCATTTCTTTTTTCTTAAAGGATGTGGAAAGGTCAAGTAGCGGTTTATGCTGATTATGGTTTTGATGCAGATGCCACGAGTGCGCCAACTGGATGTCCCTGCAGTGCTTTCTGATGAGGGGGTTCCCGCCATGATCACACCTGAGAAGCATCAAGGGCCGAGTCTGTTGGCGCTGGACGATGATTCCGACGAAGATATCGTTCCTTACTCGAGAAATCATGGTACCAAGTTCTGGAAATCTCCTAACGGGGGGTTGGGCTGCTTTTCCAGCGACTTTCATGACGTCCTAGCTGGTGTTGCCACTGCCACAGGCACCGAAATCGCAATAGTGGATGAACTACAAGGCATACGGGTTTCCGGGACCACCGAGGATGTGGACGATGCTCTGACGAAGCTCACTCAAATTGAGAAGCCCTTGGTCAGTAGGCTTGCTGCTCAAACCCCATATTTATCACCCTTCATTGACGACTGACGAGCTCTTGCTAGTTATTCCTTCTCGCTCCCAACGTCACAAACATCATGATAGTCCCACACAAGGACGATAGCCGCTTCCGCATCCAGCACTACAACAGCGTGAATCCTGATGCTCCCCGTCGTGTCCTTGAGGATCCAAAAATGTGTTCTACCATTGATTTTGGTCGAATGTGCGTCACCGTGAGTCTGTCCTTCGACAACGATTCTCAAGTGTGGACTATACCCGACAATCGTCTCAATCCTCCACGCATCAGCGAGGAAACTGGACCATCTCGCATCTGGAATGATTTTACCTTCCAGGAAATTGGAAAGGCGGACGAGTTCGTTGGCATCGACTCAATCATCGAGAATGACCCGGCAAATCCTCAGACCTTGATCTCTGGCATTGCACCTCCGCATCCTTTCCTCACTGCAGACAAGGCCAAGCAAGTTAACCAGTGGGTTGTGGAGAGGGCTGAGATGCAGCCAACCGAGCATGGACCCGAGCCCGAGCTTGAGCTTGAGTCTGATTTCGAGCCTCAGCCCGAACGTGAGCGCCGCGACGTTCCCCAGCCTAACCCCAAGCGCGAGACAACAATTGCCACTGAAAGCAAAAGACCTCCTGGAGTGAAGACGCGAAAGGCCACAACAACGACCAAGGTTGCAGCGCCATCCGAGCATCTTCAAGCAAATGAAGCCAAGCCGGTGGCCATCGATCTCACGCAGACTACTGCCACCCCACGTAAGCGTTGGACTATGCTGTATAGTTCCGGCGCGGAGGATGCAACTCCAGATGACAGTGACGCGCTTAACTCTGGAAGATCGAATTTGAACGATATGCTCGAGCTTTCTGGCGATTTGCTGGTACACGCGAAGCCTCAAACTCCAGAGAACAAAGTACGCCTTCCGGACAATTTCGACGCTGGCAAGTATGGTCTGAATCAGTCTCTTCGCCAAACTCCTAAAGAAAAGAAGAATAGTCCAACCTTCAAGAGAATTATGCCTGTCAAGTCCAAGAGGAAGCCAAGCGACCCTAACGAGCTTATTGACGTCTTTGGGCCCGCGAATAATGCTGCCGTTGGCACTCCATCTCGAATCTCGTTCAATCAGCCTCCGTTAATTCCTGGCAGCTCGGTCCATGCGTATACCTCGAACAACCGAAATCTGTGTTTGCAGGAGATGTCTGATGCGAATTCTAAAAACATCAAGTTTGGACTTCCGAGCTGCAGGATCGACGTTCATAGCATTCCTTCTGGATCTGGCAGCACCGAATCCATTTTCGGCCGTGGAGCAATGGGTGATGGAAATCTCCAGGAGCAGGAAAACAGACTGTCATTTCTGAAAAAATTCCTTCAAGATCGGACAGACGAGGTCCCTTATCCCGGCGGTCATGGTCAGGCCCGTACGTCCAGGCGCGAATTCAACAAGCTGCTGGTGAAAGAGAGCCTGGCAAAGCTTGAAACTGCCCATCGAGACCACGATAAACAAGTGTCTGATGAAATAAGTACCAGAGAGTTCCATCATACCATGGGTCACAAGACGGCAAAGCCAACAAATAAAGCAAAGAGCAAAGCTGAGGTTAAAGCGAAAAGACAAGCCACGCTTGAGGATGCTTGGGGGCTCTTCAAAAAGCCAGTCAAGAAACCTTCGGCAGATGCGCAGACTTTGACATTTATGCCGAAGAGTACGAATAAAAGCGAAACAGAAACCCTCAATGTGATTGAGAGCGGAAAGAACGGGATTGCTATAGAGTCAGCAGGAAATAGCATGACTCAAGATGTCCAGAATCTATTTGAAGCCTTGAAGCCAACATTGGAAGCTGCTGAATACTTTCAAGGATCACTGAACTTGGAAGTTCAGCTCGGGCTGATATTGATACCGCTTCTGCCAAAGACTTGCAGTGAAGGCTCGACACTCTCTTTGACCGAATGGACGAAGATCTTCCAGTCACAAACTGGCATTCCCTCTCCGACAACCAAGTTTATCAGCCGACTTACGACCTCTGGAACTGATGCTGATCATCTGGTTGATCTGAAGACATCTGCATCAGAAGGGAAAAGGCGCATTTTTGAGCAGGACTACAGTGAATACAATGTGTACTACGAGTTCCACTGTCGCACTGGAACCGGTCATCTGCTCATCATATCGGTGGATGAGCAAGGGAAATTCACCATCAAAAAGCCCTCCGCTGCGCTTGGTGCTGTCAATTTGCACTTCCCATGTCAAGTCTGGGATGCAAGTGTCGTTCTCAGTGGTACCCCAAACGACGCAGCCGTTGACCGAGAGTTCGAAGAAGCAGCCAAGTACCTCATTGAGCACCTGTGGGTTCAACCAGATACCTCACTGGTTCAAATCTTCACGCGGCTACCTCCAGGCGACAAGATTACCGTTGAGAAAGTCTATATGAAACGTTGGACGCGCCATCGCTTCATCCGCCCTCCAAACATCATTATTACCGGCGAGGTGGCCAGTCATATCAGGAGCAATAGTGCTATGACAGCTGAGACTGACTTGAATAGCGATGCCACTAGTAAGAGCCAGGCATCCGTGGGCAACGAAGCAGAGGGTATGGAGAATCAAGATATCTTTCTTCAAGTCATGGAAGTTCAAGATCTATGTATTGGATCCAGTTCGTCCGACGTTCAGGCGGTTACAGCCTGCTGTGCATCGCTGCCTGAAATGGCAGGAAACGGCCGCCAATGGTATGAAGCGTCTCTTGTAAGCTCGGCTATTGAAGCCATTCTGAGAGCGAATGCGAACGTTGAAATTGGAGAACGGACTGACGAATGGCGGAGCTCTGACCTGCTGGGAAGAGATGCCACACTTCTTCATGGGAATGCGGATGAGTCCTATAGTCCGAATACGATGCTCAGCCCTGTCGCCAAGGCCATTGGCATTGCTGGTCTCGGAGATCTTCTGCGGTTGACAAAAACTGTTGTCGAGAAAATGGACGGTATCGGATTCTGGAACCACGGTCTGATCCATGATACAGTACAGACGCCGTCGGTCGCCGGCTCTGATGGCACACTTCTTGGCCTTCCTGTCGCATTGTCGACAGACCAGACTGTTCAACTTGAACCAAGAAGCTTGGAATTCGATGATCTTGAAAGCGTCAAGGACTTTGGAAGCGTCATGGTCACTGCAATGACCAAGAAGTCTTCCGCGGCGTCTTCTGTGAAAGACAAGGAGCAGCTCGAGATCGACTATTGGTAATTGCTGGTGCCGGTACCTCTCTGAAGCCGATCGTTGTTGTTCCCGCTCATTCTACAAGATAGCAATAATGGAAAGAATGGGGGCCGGTGGGAATGGGGAAGACTACTGGCAAGATATCTAGATAAGGGACACTGACCGTAACCAGAAGACGAAACAGCAGTGTGAGAGACGAAGGAAGTTAAAATAAACCACAGATAGAGCGCTTAGCAATATTCTTTCTTCTACAACAGAACGCGATGCAATTCCTTTTAGAAAAAGTCCAGCGTCCTCCTCCCTCTGATCAAATTCTAAATATTTTTTGATCAAACCAATGTAACTTATAGAATGCTTAATTGTGGAGCATCCAATAGTCTATATCTTTGCGAGATGAATCTACCACCAAATACCATGCATACCACATAAAAACGGCACTGTCGTGCTGACAACGGGCATCAGAACACAATCTCTCAGTCCTCCTCATCAGGAGCATCATCAACGTTCCGAAGCCACGCCCCCCGAGCGTCAACTGCAGCTTTCCGCACATCCCGTTTTGGATCGTCTAAAATCATACGCAGAGAACGCACTACTTGATTCTTCACTGGTAGAAGCGGGGAGAGTTTACCGGCTTTCGCAACAGCTGGGGCGTCTGTCTTCGGTGTCTGAGCCAACAAGTTCAGACATCTAAGTGCTTCGACACGCAGTCTCGGCCCGTTCACAGCGCCGGCAACGGCAGCCTGCTGGTCCAACCCAGTAGGTGTGGGCTTGTATGCGGCTGTCTTCAGAAGCCGGGTGACCAAGCTTTGGACATGGCCGCATTCCTCAATAACGCTGACGCCATTTTCACGGATGATTACGGCGAGTGTCTCGAGTGTTGCGGCTCGGACGGCCTGTGAGTCTGCGGTTTGCAGGTCCAAGCTCTGCAGGAGAAGAGGAAGCAGCGTCGGGAGCTCCGGCATTACCAATGAAGGCGAAATGGTGGAGAGTATTCCTGATAAGGCGGTGAGATGTGCTGGCTTTATATGTGCGGGCGTGGACGAGTCATCGCCTGCGACGTTGACCTCGCGGATGCGGTTTGAGATGAGGGGGGTCAATGTCGTGAAGACACGCTGTTTTGCTAGGAGTCTGATGTTTGCACCATTGTCGGCTGAAAGGACGTCATCGTCCTTGAGGAGGATGGCGAAGCCGCGAGCAGCAGTGGTACTTGTCATCTCATCCGGTGACGAAAGTACTGACAAAAGAGAGGTCAGTATTTGGGTGGTCGTTGGCGCAAGGCGTAGGATGAGAGCCTTCGAGAGCCAAAATATTGTCTTGATCGTTCCCGGGCTCAACTTTTTCTCCTTGGCAGCAGCAGAGAACAGGTTGCTCAATATTCCCGTAGCGATGTTAAGTCCGGATTTTGGAAGGAATTTATTGACAAGCAAGGCAGAATGACGAAGAAAAGCGAGATGGGTTGGTGGCTCGCTCTCTGTCAAGGATCGATCCACAAGGTCCGAAAGAAGAGATGACAAGTCGGGGCTGGTATACGGGAGGTGTGCACAGTCTGCTGAGAGCCCTGCAAGGAGATATGTTGAGACAATCATCGTACGCTGTTGATCTTCGCTTGCTGCTTGCGAAAATGGTACCGGTGTAAAGTCGCTCGAGCTGGCAAACAGAGTGTAAATGTTCTGCGCAACCTCATCTTGTTTTTGCTTCGATAGACACCTGACAATGAGATTGCAAAGCCTTCCAAGAATATCAATGACAACTGCGTCATTCAAGATTCGGTTCTTAGATCTTCCTGTGGCCGAGTCTGCAACGCCACGGCAGAGTCCTATTACGATCTTGTCATAGTAGAGTTCCAGGTTTGGGTCTTTATCCAAATGTCTCTGTTTCATCACATAGAGAATGGTCATGAGAATTGCGCGGGGATATGCTATGGACCCAGCGAGTTCCTTTTGAAGCAATACGGTCAGTTTGCTGAGTAGACGTCGCACTAATGTCTCGAAAATATCCTTTTCGACACTGATCTGCGCGAGGTTCTCAAGCGTCGTTATATAGTCGGCGTTTGACCCTTCGTCAGTGTCGGGCAGAGTTGCCACGAAAGCAGGGAATGTGATATCCATGATCAATCGTGGCTTGTGCTTTGATATTTCAGCCAAAGCTGCGATTGCTTTTTTCTTCAAGTCACCCCGGCCCACAGATTCCTCTTTTAACAGAATTTCATCCAAGTATTGCACAAACAAGCCGATCTCGTTGTCTTGGAAGTAATTTCTCAGGATGGACAGACGCAGGAACCCTTCAAGAGCGGTTACTCGGAAGGAAACTTCTTCCTTCGCTGCTCCCATCAGTGCTTGACCAAAGACATCCAAGAACTGATCTTTGAATTCGACCAGAGCGTTTTCGGTCGCGGGTTCAGGCTCATGAGAGTTCCATTCCCCAAAAACTTTGATGGCTGAATCGAAAAGAACCCCAAGGGTTTCCAGTAGCGCTCTCTGTTTGGCAATCCCATCGGCCTCCTGATAAACCGTCAACAGGGGCGCGACAACAGTCTGCACAATCATTGTGAACGAGGCTATAGAAGCAGATGATGTTGAATTCAGGATCTGTTGCGCAGGCTTCGCCTGCTTTTGCTGGGGTTCTCGCAGTTGCTCATTACATTCTTTCGTGATTGGCCGCAAGAACTGTGCAAGCGGTAACTGTTCGGATATTGCTGCAATACCCTCGGATAACCGTTTAGCAACGCTGTTCAGAGCCCGAAGTGAAAGTTCCGAGAGGAATTCCTCTTGTGCATTAAGAATCTCGAACTTCAATACGTCCCATATTTGAATGGAATATTTGGACACAGTATCCGGGTCGTACGATCTAATGCACGCAATTAATGCGTTAAGAGCATCTTTCTAGGGGCTTGTTAGTCTCATTCTAGATAGAGAGGGCTTATAAAGTTGTGGAAAATTTTACCTTGACGTTTGGTGAAGTGGAATCCAATTTATCAAGAAGGGCGGGAATAGCATAGGGAGCGAAAAGACTAGTTGAGGAAATGCAGTCCTGTAGGCGATCCTTCAGGTCTTGAGCGGTGATCCCGTATGGATCGTTTGGAGGAGGTCTGAAGGTAATCGGGAAGTAATTATAAACGGATTCAAAAAGAGTCTTCGGACGTTAGCTGTTGAACTGGGAATTGGCAGAGACGAATAGTGTACCTCCGCGTGGTTTGAGATATCCCATTCGATCATGACCACTTTCAGGATGGAGAAGACAAGCATGAGATTCCGGGGATCTTTCTCTCCCGTCATGAGATCAACGATTCCGACGAGAGATGTATCCCCCATCTTGTGAAGAGCTAGTATAACTCAGTATGGGCAATATCACTGAAGTTCAAGTGCTGTAGTGCGTACCGGTCCGATGATTCGACATCAATTCATTCAATAGTTGATATACCTGAAACCTTTGCGATTGTGACCGAGACTGTAAGTCCTGTAGGCGCTCGAAGATACTAAATAATAGTCAGTTAATTCCGAGTCTGCGACTGTTCGAAACATTGCATTGAGAAGAACTAAAAGCCCGGTCGACGTATGGTCTATAGGTCAAGGCTCCGTGAAGCACTTACGCCTGTGCTACTTCCTCGGCTAATGCATGGTTGAAGCGATCCAATTTTTGTAGTGTATCCAGTCCAGCGACAGCCCCTCCATCTTCAATGCGGTCACAGAAGAATGTTGTGAGTACCTGGATCTGTTGTCTTGATAGATACTTCGGAGGAAGTGCTCTGATCACGGCGGTGAGGTAGGAGACAGCTTTGCCGCGCAAAATAGGATCTTCATCGTTGATATATTCACCGAGTGACTGTACAACTTCAATGAGTGTTGTGCTTTTGTTCTCCACATCTAAGAGCATCAATTAGTATCCAAGTATCTTGATCTCAGGCCGCGGGAAAACAGCACCTTGAGCAACCCGCTCAGCAATTTGCTTAGCCTCCACTTTATCGTGGTCGACGACCAACATGAATGTCTGCAGAGCCGACATTGTGTCAATCAATTGGCATCCGAAACCAAAATGAGGGGCAGACAAGGTCCCCTCCTCCGCAATCGGGACATGACGCTTTTTGTGGTTGACACCAACTGACTGCCCTTATCGATAGAATCACGTGCATTGAGCTCCACATCACGTGTGCATTGAAGGAACCTAAGGTGTCGCCATGTTGCGTCATGGGCCACTGACTTTGTGCTCGCTGGCATGCTATGTCCAATCCCTCGTGCTACGTCTAAGCCGAGACACCATTTCTCGTCAAGATGCGGCGCACACTCTTAGTGTTATCTGTCATTGTATTTTGCTTCATTGGCTCTGTAATTGCAAATCTGAGTCTTCCTCTGAGGTTCAGTCTGCGCAAACGTCTCCCACGTTCACTTGTTGATGTTCCTCACTTACGACACGAACAACGCCTGCAGGACAATACTGAACTAAGAAAGTGGCTTTCCAGCCAACAGCCGATAATGGATAAGATATCTTCTTCCCCTTCGCGAGGGGACGACAGTGAGAAGCCTGTTGTTTCTGATGTTCTTCCCAAGAACCGTGCCATAAATATATTTGCTTCTCTCACCCGGCAGTTTGAGCCTATTGAATCGCGCCTTAACGATTCATCCAAAAATATTACTGTCCTAGCTCCTCGCAATAGTGCTATCCAGGACTTGCCACGCAAGCCCTGGGAGAATCCGGAGGACTACGAGAAGTTTGGTGGGGTGAGCGCATATGAAGGACAGGAAGGGGAGGATAGAGCGAAGCGGAATCTACAACGTTTCGTGGAGGCTCATATCATTCCAACAAGTCCATGGAGGGAAGGTGAAGAGGCGGAGACACTTGGAGGGGAAAAACTGAAGTGGATCAAAAATGGTGATAAGATATATGTGTGTATTTCTTCACCCATGAGCTATCCTGCATGTCTTCTGACGCTGCTTAGATTCAACCGGGTAATGTTGAGGTTGACAATATCGCCGAAAAAGTAACAAACGGTGAGCTTTGGATTTTAAACGGGGTCATCAACTACCGTTGAAATCCTCTCTTTGCGAAGTAATGCACCCTTCGAGCATCTACCACGCGAAACCCTCGATGTATAGCTGGAGGGATGGATGAATTATGCATTGAACGACTCTTTATATACCATAATCTACGTTCACATCTTTCTGCGCAAAAGGCTTGTCATGTCCAACAGCTCCCTGAAGTACTATTTTTTTCATTGTCTGTTATGAATGATTGCCAGGAAATGAGATAGTCAACACAACGACAGTTTATTATTTGAACAAGTTAAAGACACTTTCTGTTTGACTTTCCTCTATATGAATATAAAACAGTATAAGGGATAATTGTCTCCGCGCACCCAACACCAATCAGCGAATTTCCTTTGAAGCATAGTTATGTAGAACTCTCTCCTCGATACCGTCCAGAATGCTAAAGAACTCGGTGACTTCCAAGTTCTCTGCTTCACTCTGGTACAATTTGTCTGGATCCTGGCCAGGTTGGAACGGATTGACTGCTGCGCCAGGGTTCACAGTTGCCATTTGTTGAGCCATGTGGTTGGCAGCTGCACCATCAAGAGAGTCAGTATATGTTTATTTGAGGGAAAGTAACAGGAAGTATGGTAATGTCATAAAGGCAAGATAAAGCAGGCCCAAAGGACGTCACTCACCGTTATCGCTGCCGAGGATGAAGCCAAAGACTGACTGAAGGCCAAACAGATTCAAAAAGTACCACGAAAGACTAGACACCCATCTGACATCCAGGTCACGGGTCATGACACCAGATTGGAGCATTGATTTGAATCGGATCGTGAGGGGGAAGGGCAGTTTCACTGTGCCGACTCTGTTAGCGCACAGGCGAGCTCAACTCTGTTGTAGAAGGCAACATACGAATAACAAAACCGGAAAAGAACGCATTGATCCAGCTCATGATCAAGGTCTGTGGGATCATCATCATCATATTTCCTTTCATCATCCCCATCATGGCCTCCATGCCCGCAGGATCAGTCATCGGATTCGCAGGTGGCTGACCGCGGCTGGAAGGGTCTTTAAGGAAGGCACCGCTTTTGTATGCAGAGATCAAATAGTTCTTTCGCATCTCGAATCCTTCCCGCGATAGCACTGCGGGAGCATTGTTACGCAGGTTGACTCCTCGCAGAAGTGAAAGGCGCTCTTTAGATTCGGCAAGTGTCGCCGGAGGTTTCGGGGGGCTGTTCATCAGAACTGTCGCATAATGGCGAAGAATACCTGTCAATATCTTCGCAAAGCATCAGTATTAACCAGTGTGACAAGAACTATGTAGTCGACGAGACTTACCATGACGATGGTGATGGGGAACAGGATCCAATAGCTTTGACAATGTACGTCAGTCCTTCGTCCACGACATATCAACCGGGATAACACTCACAACAGAGCCGGATCCCGTAGGATGGTCTGCTCAACCCCTTGTAAAGCCATTGTGCACCAGAGACGCTGTCAAGCAGACGTTTGGCCACTGAGTTCAGAGTGAATGGAGGATGTTGAGAAAGTCGCCTGTGATGATGCGGCAGTCCCCGCGAGGTCAGACAAAGCGGGTTTACTAGCGCTGGCCAGCATGCCGCTTTAGCTCAGCTCTCCGTGGAAGGGCCAGCTCGCCGTAACTCCTCACTGCCAAATAAACATCACTGCTTGACTTCTCACGCCTGAAAATATAAACCATCTGAACTGCCCTGTGGCTTCTAGCAGTGCTCCTTCATATTCCAAATAGATTTCCATCGAAATCTATAGCTCACAATGGCAACCTCGGCACCGAAGGTGCCTGTTTACTCTGTTAATGGTTAGTCCTGTATACTCCAAAACAGCTCCACCGAGCTTTATTTTGGTTCTTCATACAGGAAATGTTATGCGAAACTGTCGGTATCTGTCACTGACGACCACATTTAGATCTGAAATCTACCACAGATGATGCTCTTGTCCCGTACTTGTGTACCCTTCCTCAACCGTATACCTTCAGTCAAGACCACTCGAAATCCAATGTCCGATTCCTCCTTGGCTACAGCGCAGTCGCCATCGCTGCGTTCACTTTCTACGCTGATCGCAAACTTGGATGGGAAGCAACTACCTCCCCGTGGGTGATAGCAGCAGTGTCTTCATACTTTATCCTGAACACCGTCCTCACATACTGGATATGGGCTGTGGAAGCCGGCGAGGTTTTTCGAGGCAAGCGAAAGTCGGGTGAAACGGTATAGTCTACTGCGCCTTTTTTCTGCGATCACAAATCAAGCTCACTGTTTCTCTAACTAGATCTCGATTCGGTCTTCTGTGAAGAAACACGCCCCTCTTTACAAGCTCCGTGTCCAGTACACATCGCCCTCCAACAAGATTCTCCAAGAAAAGGAGATCGAAGCACCATTTATGAATTGGTTTACCGCGGACGGGACTTTCCACCCTGAACTCCTGCGACGCTGGCTTGCTACCGAGATTGAGGTGCTACGACTTGCGGCTAAAGAAACAGAGAGGAAAACCGGCGGGCTTGGAAGTGTTGTAGGAGTGCAGGATACTAATAACAAGAAGTAAATGACAAGGCTTTCTATCTTTTGAGAATGTGACTCGGACTCGAAAAGTTTGGACTGTTTCTAGCTGAGATTTTTGAAATGGCAAATGCCCTCCAGCTCGCATTGAATAATTGCCTTCCGCGCAAAAGATTTTATGACATGCATTTGGACACTGTTCCACATCATACTCTTGGGAACTTTTTATGGTCTGCAGCAAATTCCTGGGACTAGGGACTACTGTGTGAGAGCAAGTCATTTCAATATGATTTACTGGCCTGATGAAAAGACCTTTTCATGGCAGAGGCTCATATCATATATCATATACACGAGAAAACAACCATTGTTGAGTCTCATTGAGGAACAGAATTGGAACAGAACACAAGAAAGGAAATCTATGATTGTCATATATGGCTTTTGCTAATTGTCGTCTCCCGTTGCATGTCGCATTTTGTTGAATATAGTTACGAAGCGGCCTCCAGAGTTCCAGGACGCTCGGTGGCTTCAGCAGGTTTCACATCATCCAATCTCTGGTTCTGAATCAATCTCTGTAACGCATGGTCAATCTGATTATCCATCAATGCGCTTGGCCGGATGTCACTCACCAAGAGGTTCCGGAGCAGAACCACGATAGTCACCTTGCCGATCGAGGGAACGAAGATGGATGCCTTCTCTTTTACTTCTGGGCCGAAGTTCTGTGCGGGACATTAACTTCCCTGAATCCCAGTGGGCAATTAGACAAATATCGAAAGCTTACCTTCTCACTAGAAAAGTTGACACAGACGGCACCTTCTCTGAGGAGGCTTGTGTCGAACTTGTACGAATCGCTGGGAACACCTGTGATGACAACATCGCACAGAGGGGCTACATCCTTGATTGTCTTTCCTTCCAAGTCCACGACTTCGTGCCTACACTTTTTTAGACCCTCACGAGTGAACTTCTGGACACCGGTGACATCCACGCTGTAGACACAAGCTCCGTCATTCGCCAACAGAGCTGCAAGTGGCCGGCCAACAACCTCTGAGCGATTCACCACGCAGATAGTGTGTCCAAATAGCCGGTTTCCGTACGGTAGGATCGTGTTGTAAATGTTGAGGTACTCGAGGATCTTGATGATGGCCAAGGGGGTGCAAGGAAGGATGCACTTCTGCCGCTTGGTTTCAGGGTCAAGGAAACGGATGTTCTGGTACATGTTGAAGATGTAGCGATGGCTAAGACCTTCTACATCTTTGGATACGTCGACGATCTGCTGCAGATACTGGTCTTGGCGATTGTTGAAGATCGGGTAGTATACGATGATACCGTCAACGTCTGAGTCGGTATTGGCAGCCAGAATAGCCTCTTCGATATCGTCGCGAGACACTTGGCGCAAAGAGTAACGGAATCCACTGTATGAAGGGAATGTCTACGTTAGCTACGATAAGGTGACTCAGAACGATGCTTATGCCATGCTCCGAGATCGCAATTGATGGCGTAGGAAAGAAAAGAGACGAAACGGCGCGATTGGCACATATAAGTGCAGAAATGGGTAAATGCTCACTTTTCTTGACATGTCTTCTCAGTCCACTGAGCATACATCAAGGCCGCAGGGTCATCGTTGGCCAGGAATCCGACAAGGTGAGGCGGCTTCTCCAAGGTCTTGACACCTTCCTGGACCTCCGCAACGAGGCCATTTGCAACGTTCTTAGAGAGCACAACCTTGCAAGCGGCTGGCATTGAGTCTGTCGAAGTGGCCATTCTGCGCGATTACAGTGGTATGATCTGGAAATAGGCGAAAACTAGTCCCTCTTCTGCGGAGATCGAACTACGGAGGAGGGGCATGGTCAAAATTTTGGGACGGAAAAGATTGCTCGCTTATCGATAAAACAGACGCCGCATTCGGCCCACTGCAAGAGGGCGCAGGAGACCAGCCCGAACTGAAGGACATATTGGTGGGCCAAAAGAAAAGAATTTATTTTTGTATCACTGTTGAGTCCTGAGGATCAATGTAAGATACAGCTATCATTATCATTCATCTAAGTGGCCTACCTTGCCTTTGTGGGTGAGCAACATCATAGTCCTAGTACTCCGCAAATCCATACATAGAGTTCCCGTCCAGTTAGCATGGGGTATAGTTTGACAATGGTAAGCAGCCCGAGACCCTGATAAACCCATTATCGTCATACCTATGGTCGGTATGTGCTCTTACGGCGTCTTGAAATTGGCCGATCTGGAAGTCGATTACATGCGAAAAGCTTAAAGAGAGCTTGCCTGATTTGCTCCGATACGACGTGTAGTGAAACAAAGGAAATCATAATCTGGCTGCGTACATGGTAACGAAGAAGCTGCGCTATGAAAGATTAATTGGACGGCACCTTCTTTTTCGAACGATAGGCTGACAATCCAATCATCCCCTCATGTCTGACTCCCTTGTTGCCCAAAAAGATCTAAACGTACAGGATATTAATCGTATCTTTTGATTTTTGTCTCCGCACCATTCATCCTGGATTTTCGTCACTACAGAAAGGCGAGAGTGCAATAACCGACGTAAGGTTACACTTGCTCAAGGACGAACCCGTTTCGGAAGCTTTGAAAACAGGAGGAAAACAGTGGAATCAAATTGTACAAGCTATCTTGTCTATACACATAGCGTCAGGAAAAAACAGTACACGGTGGATCAATCACCCAATTGCCTTTTGCTCACCTATGCGTTGAAAGACTTGTTGAAGTTCTCAATGGTTTCACGGAGCTGAGCCTCGAGGTCCTTGCTGACCTGGCCCTCCTTGTCAATGGTCTCAAGGAGCTCGGGCTGGTTGCTCTTGACGCTGGCAAGGAAGTCAGACTCCCACTGGAGAATCTTGCCGACGGGGATACCGTCGAGGTAACCGTTGACACCGGCGAAGATGAGAGGAACCATGTCAGAGACAGCCATGGGAGAGTACTGCTTCTGCTTGAGGAGCTCGGTCAGACGCTCACCACGAGCGAGGGTCTGCTTGGTGGAGGCATCAAGGTCGGAACCGAACTGAGCGAAAGCAGCAACTTCACGGTACTGAGCCAAGAACAGCTTCAGGGAACCAGCGACCTGCTTCATGGCCTTGACCTGGGCGGCGGAACCGACACGAGACACGGAAAGACCGACGTTAATGGCGGGACGGATACCCTTGTAGAAGAGTTCGGCCTCCAGGAAAATCTGGCCGTCGGTGATGGAAATGACGTTGGTGGGAATGTAGGCGGACACATCACCACCCTGGGTCTCAATGACGGGCAGAGCAGTAAGAGAACCACCACCGTGCTTCTCGTTCATCTTGGCGGCACGCTCGAGCAGACGGGAGTGAAGGTAGAAAACGTCACCGGGGTAGGCCTCACGACCAGGGGGACGACGGAGCAACAGAGACATCTGACGGTAAGCGACGGCCTGCTTGGAAAGATCGTCGTAGACGATGACAGCGTGGCGGCCGTTGTCACGGAACCACTCACCCATGGCACAGCCAGTGAAGGGAGCGAGGTACTGCAGAGGAGCGGCCTCGGAAGCAGTAGCAGCAACGACAATGGAGTACTTCATAGCGTCGTTCTCCTCAAGGGTCTTGACGAGCTGAGCGACAGTGGAACGCTTCTGACCGACGGCAACGTAGATACAGTACAGCTTCTTGCTCTCGTCGGAAGAGTTGTTCCATCTCTTCTGGTTCAGCATGGCATCGAGAGCGACAGCGGTCTTACCAGTCTGACGGTCACCAATGATCAACTCACGCTGACCACGGCCGATGGGGACCATGGAGTCGACACACTTCAGACCAGTCTGGACGGGCTGGTTGACGGAGCGACGGGGAAGGATACCAGGGGCCTTGAGCTGAGCACGGCTCTTGGCCTTGGTGTTAATGGGACCCTTGCCATCAATGGGGTTACCAAGGGCATCAACGACACGGCCGAGAAGTTCGGGACCGACAGGGACGTCGACCTGCGGGCGTTGTAAGTATATCTTAAGAGTAAAATGCCTCGATATCAGGAAGCATAACATACAATCTCTCCAGTACGCTTGACGGTCTCACCCTCCTTGACGAGACGATCGGAACCGAAAAGCACAACACCGACCTGGCCGGCTTCCAGGTTCATGCACATACCCTTGACACCAGAGGCGAACCTGGGCATCTGTCAGTCATCTGAAATACACAACCCTCCATCAAAAGTTGATACATACTCGACCAGCTCCTCAGCCTGGACATTGGTCATACCATGGACACGAGCGATACCGTCACTGTCAGGCAAAAGCAGATTAGTCAATTGTCTTACTGAAAATACACCGGAATATCCGCTGTATTCGATAATTTGGATGAAAATGCGGTGGAGTGCGAATTTTTCAACCAGCATTAATCTACCACATACCCGACGGAAAGGACACGTCCAGTCTCAGCAAGGCCAGCCTCTTCCTGAACGCCACGGATTCTCTGCTCAAGGATGGAGGAAACCTCTGTGGGCGAAGCCTTGGCCTCAGCAGCGTAGGAACGGACCTGCTTGGAGGCACCGGCGAGGGGGCCGGGAACAGCCGCGCGAACCTGTCGAGACGCAAAATTTGTCAACGCCAGCACAATCCAACCACAACGCGTGAAACCAATTCAAAAAGTATGCCGAGGAATGGTGAGGCGATTCGAGCACCGATTGAGATATTTTCTCGAGATGGAAACGACCATATTGATGCGATGAGGTCGACCTGAGTAGGGATGAGACTCACCGAGGCGATTCTGCCAGTGGCAGTGGCAGCCGCAACGGTGCGGCTAGACTGCCGCAAAGCGTTTCTGAACATTGTGATGGGGGTTCAGAGGTGTGGGAGAGTGGTTTCTCTAAGGAGAGATGTAATTGGGGAGGAGGTGGCAGAGGAGAAAGGATTGTGGATGGATAGAAGGAGAGCTTTGTCGTCCGGGTTGGGAGGATTCTCAGGACTGCCACTAAGCCTAGTTTGCCGAGCCTCACCAACGGGCTCCGAAGCCGCCCTAGTGCGTTCACGGGTCACCAACCCCCCCCCAGAGAAATACACAATGTTGATGGTTTCCCACAGCACTCTCGCTCCATAAATTATTCTACACTCGAGTCTTGCTGCTTCTTATGTCTCTATATTGTACTTTAAAAAAAAGCATATCTTATAAAGCTCTGTATTGTCGATGATATTGGCATTCCCTCTGGCTTGGCCATCGGGGACAGCTGGCAATTCCATTTTTCGTTTTCTCGGATCTGCGGATATTAGTGGCTTAGTCATACGTATTTTCGTCACAGCAACCATATAGGACGCTGCCAGCGGAACATCTATCTACACCAAAACTTATTGTGCTTCACAAGAGAATACTCTGTAGCATACTCTCCATACCGCCCATGCGAAAGGTTATATCGCTCATCGGGTAAACAAATGTATCATCCGCTATCATAACGGAGACATCATGAGCTGTACAAAGAGTCGGGGGTTGAGTCTTGACATACCAGCGCAAGAGCTCTGATACAAAGAAGGATAAGGCAACCACAGCTACAGCCGTAAGCCACTTACCATGTCCACACTACTACAGTCCAGCCATGCAAACTAGTTCAGGTCAAAAGGAAGCTATACCAGCAAACTATTTCGCGGCGCCACCCTTCTTGTTCCTGAAAGCAGCAATTTCCTTCTTCACGCTCTCCTCATATCTGGCTCGCAGCTCAGGGCGATATCCGAGGTAGAACAGAATCTCCAACCAGACGAAGAGAGGAGCAAGAAGCAAGGCTTGGACGAGATTGTCCAGCAACGCTGGAGCTCTTCCCTCAAAGATGCCATGGCCGACGAACTGCAGCAACCACGAAACAACGTGGACTCCACCGGCCCAGTAATTGACAGTCGTGCCGCAGGTGCTCAGCAGATAGTTGGCGTAAGCTGCGCCAGCGATCAGGAGCGGGGCGATCAGTCCCCCGGCCACGGGCTCTAGGAGTATATAAAAAGTGGCATATATAAAGGCTCCGATCGTGCCGAGGTTGGCTGGAAGGTATTCAAAGCTAAGAGCCTCAGGAAGGTTGAACAAGGCCGGCGAATTCGAAGCCTGAGGTTCCGCATGTCAGTGCTATCGAGGTCAGCATTTGGGACTGGTGAACGTACCAAAGCTATACCTGTGAACAAGAGTATCGGTACACAGGTGATGTGAATAGCCACATTCACCTAAGAAAAAATAAGCTTAAATGTCGATTGGGGGAATATAGAGTGTTGCAAACCTACCGGGTTATTGTGATAGGCACCATACTGTAGATATAAGCACTAGTTCATCAATCACAAAAGCTGAGGAGACTCACAAAAAGGAGTTGCTTCTCAAGGTTCAACGCCATTTCACTTTGGGTTGTGTACTTCTCTGAGCCTGATTCGACGAATCTATTGAGTCAAACGGATAGCATGGAGAGATTTGTCTGCCAGCTTCAAAGCGACGGGGGATGCTACGATCAGGCCAGCTACGTGGTGGAGAATTAAGACATTTTAAGTAATGTCCTAAGTATGGCGTCTTGGGCAGCTTATGCTGGGACGTCATGTGTGACAAGGGGAGCATGCCGAGGATGCGCTCCAATTAGGTTGTATCCGATCTGTTTGATTACACCTGGTTATGGGAGTAACTTGGTAAAATAGGTGTACTGTACTGTAATGTGAGATTCATCTTGCTATCTTAGGTATTGTACAAATTATCCAGGTCAGGTGACTCCATCCAGCTCTTCATGTTGATCAGGCAGTTACTTGAAACGATTGTCTGACTGAGGTATCTTCA